CATCGGTGTGTGAATGGGTGAATGGTGTATGATCTCCCTGTAAAGCGCTTTGGCCAGTGCATAAAAGCGCTATATAAATACAGTCCATTTACCATTTATATTTGTTGTGTATGACCCTCTATAACATCCGTCTTTCTCTCACTCTGTATTTTGCAGGTGGCGTTGTTGGGCATAGACATCTGTGGTGCATTTCTGGACCGCATGGGAGAGCGCTTCAAAGGATACCTGGTCACAGGTGAGATATTACCTATCCCCACCCTGAATTTCCTTTAGGTTATGTTCTTTTTATAGTAAAGCTCATTCATTAAAACATTTGTAAGCTGAGCTTGCTCAACAAAACTTTGGAGTTGTCAGTTTTTTTTCTTGTTTCACGAATGCAGAAGCAAAAGTAGCTTTATGATACACACAACTACTTCTAATGTTTTGTGGCAAATTCCAGTTCATGAAATAGAAAACAAAGCTGTGCCCATATGTTTTCAGTGATTCTACAGCCAACGCACACGCAATGTTGTTGTTTAAAATGGATTGCAAGAAACCTTTCTTTATTTAGTTCATCCGGTTCAGAAGCTAATGTCTTCTACAAAGTGCTCCATCTATTATGTTAAGCAGTGAGTGCTATTCAAGGACAGGTTTGCCTCCCGGCTCGAGTCCAAGTAGCTTCTACACTTAAACCCGTATAAGTGGCAGAAATTATAACTGCTTCATAATTTGTACTCAACTCTACCCTGTACTTTTACATTTTACTTTGATTGATGTATAAACTCTAAAGCATTGTGTTGCTCTGTCCTGCCATTTTGTCTCTTACTTCCACTTTGTGCTTCCTCTGAGACAGACCAGTATCACGGCTCTAAAGCCTGGCACCTCTTCCTCCTGTTATACATCCTGTAGTCTCTATATTTAGTCTCTGAATTCTCTGCCATAGTGTAGCTCATCTTATTACACCCCAGGACCACACCTCACATTCATTTGACCTCACAGACTGAATCTTCTATCAGATTTCCTTCTATGTGAGTGTGTTGTTATGTCAGTGCAGGTCTTTGTGTGTGCACCCGCTTTAGGTGTCACCAGCTGTCTTTGTCAGCTAGACTTGCTCTTGTTGCCAACAAATACACTCAACCCTGCAGTGAATTCTGAGATGACTGGATCTGTCGCACTGTGCAAAAGCACACACATATACACAGCTTGTTGATTATCTTGGATGGTGCCCCAGCTGTGTGTAATGGAATTGTGTGTTTCTGATTGATGGAAAAAACATCTCTCAGAGCCACCACTGGCTTTGAAATCTCCATCTGTCTATCTGACTTTGATGGGTACATTTCATGTCTCTTATAAAATCATTCCTACGTCCTTAGTCAACCCGGAAGTCATTCTGGTTGACTGAGAACTTAGGACATTCCAAGCCTCTTGTATTGGCTCTGAGGACTGTGCTGGAGGAGCCATGACCGAGGATACATGAGACCATCTTTTGCGGAAGTTATTTGTGACCTGACCTGCCCCTGAATCATAAATCAGTTGGTGATTGGTCACGTCAGATGAAGGATGTGAGGGAAGGATTGCTCATGTTAATAACGTGCTTGCTTGAGTCCTCTCTCCTCATGTGTTTCTTTCCCATCTTACATGGGTAGGACTAAGACACAAGTGAGGGAACAACAGTGCTTATAAGAGACATGAGATGTACCCCATGTCTCCTTTCCTGTGCTCTTTCTCCTTCTCCCAGCACCCACCCTCCTCCCACACACACACACACACACACACACACACACGCTGAGGGAAGGAAGATGAGATCATTGAGACTGAGTGATTATTGATCTACAGGTCTGACTCACTGAACATGCCTGCTGCTATTACACTGTGTGGGTGTGTGCATGCATGTGCGTGTGTGTTTGCTTGTGTGTGCACAGGCAGTTGGATATTGTGCTGTTGGCCATACTGCCAAGTAGCTCCTTTATATGATGTGGAAATGGAAGTAAAACATACAGAAACATACTGGTGTACTTTGACTTCATAATACTTTCTTGGTCACAGTGTGACAGATTCACTGAAGTGAAGTGATTGGTCCAGCAGCAGTGTGGCTTGTCACTTAGATTGTCCCTGTGGAAAAAAAGACTAAACAAAATGGGCCAGCTTACCACATACAACAGAAGTGTGTCTGTTTTCATCCAGATGACATTATGTGCAACAATGCCCCCCTGTCATTTTAGTTTGCGCTATTGTAATTGTAGCCATGGCGACCAGCTATTATGGTAACATAACGTACGCACGGCTCACACACACACACACACACACACACACACACACACACCCACCCACCCAGAGAAAGGACAGATGACATCATGCCCTCTCCCCTGCTCATGTTTGAGACTGTGGGTACGAGTGTGTTTATACTGTATGTACAGTACATGTGCATTTCATTCTGTGCGTATTTCTGTTTCTCATTCTGTGAATGTCAGATGAATGAATAAATTTTTTATGTTTAAGCAGTGTTATGGGCAGCTGAATAAGATGAGATATTTAAACCATAGTATGTGGTGAATTTTGAGACTTTTGTATAATGTATAACGCTAGCAATATTTTATACTTTTGTATTTGTCCACAAATGCACCAGTCTAAAAACTATGCAATGGTCCATCTCCTAAAACTTTTACTTTTTTTAATTTTTCAGTGCATGGGTTTCTGCCATAGACTGTATATAAAAATGGACGACTCGTCACCATTTTCCGCCACTATGCAAAAGTAAAGCAAAATTATTTCATGATAGACTTATCAAAACAAATTACTCAGGAAAACCACCACCTGTACACAAATCAGGGTCATAATGGCTACCAAAAACAACAGAAATCACCTTTGGGGGAAATCTGTTTGGTTTTTACCCTGAATTTTCAGTTTGGCTCATCATTGAGGGGACAGGGTTTATGGCCTATTCTGCAACCAGTCGCCAGGGGGCGATCTGCTTGCGGTAGCTTTACTTCTGGAAGCTGTTGTCTGTCTTTACATACAGTCTGTATTCTCTCCTGAGATTTATCTTTAAAAACAGGTCACCATTACATACTGTACCTTCATTTGCTTGCCACTGTAGTTTTTAGCTTAGCGTTACTCAAACAGGAATGAATAGTTCATTTGATGGGCACTGCTTTCTTTTGTGAATTTAGCACACAAGTAGGTGCTTACAGAAAATAGAACTGGAATTGCTTGTGTTTATTATCATTTTAAAAAGTCATGCCGGCCAGTAAGATTGTGGCTCACTGTCCTTTTCACAGTTTTTGGCCAAATTTGGACATCCACGGTACAGAGGGATGTGCATTATCGGGTTATAGTTGCACTCAGTTTTTTGTCATTTGGGTCAGTTAGTTGATTTTGGTGTTTTATGGTGTTTGTTGATAATAAGGAAAATCAAGATAACTCCTGACTTATCACTGAAATGATCTGTTCACCAAAGACTATTCATTCATGTGTGCACCAAGCAAATTGCAGGCCTTTAGATAAAAAAGCTGTCAAATAGCTGTTGTTCTTATATTAAAGCTAAGAATACACTGAAAGCTGATGGCCCTCTGTTCATCTTTTCATAGAAAATTAGTCTAACCATCTGAAACATTTTTGTAGTTACCAAAATACTCACAGGTCTTTTGGATGTCAGCATTTACTTTTTATTCTTTACGGAGTGCGTCACCACATTGCACAGGAGCAGTTGTGTGTTAAAGTGGAACTGACACGATAGTATTTGATGATGTTGACATTATTTTAGTTACAGTCTGTTTCTCATTTCCTGTCCTCTCTTTCCTCGTCTCAGAGCCATGGTGTCAGTGCTGGTGTTGCTTAGGGTTTTATGTTTACATATCGGTTGTATCTCACACACCCACAGACTGCACTAATGGTGAACATACTGTAATATAGTTTGTCTGTGGTTTAAAAGCACTCCACTTGGGGGCAGTCTTCATTATCTTTGGCATTGAAAATCTGGTAAAGATTCAAAGTCATGTCTGGCCTCATTCTTCCTTTACTGATGTAGGTACATTGAACTGCATTTTCACATATTGACTCTCATGACAACCGCCACTTTCTCTCTCTCTTTTTGCCCATCTCTCTGTAGTATTGCCGGCCCTGGTGGACAGGCTGGGCGATGGCAAGGATCAGGTCAGGGAGAACAGCCAAGCTCTCATTCTTCGTTGCACAGAGCAGGCCGCCTCGCCCATGGTGAGACACAACACTGACATGAATGTAAAAGCCTCTGGATCCTAACCAGTCAAAGCCTCTTTTATATATAAAGCATATAAATTGTGGGAGATTCTGGGTTATCAGCCAAATTATTATTTTAAGTAACTAATTTCAAGCACTGCATGTAAAATGTAATAAACAGATCATTGGTGATTTTTAAAATGGTCTCAGGACTTGAATTTCCAGTTCTCGCCCTGACAGTTCTGGTATGAAAGGTTGTAGCTGTTAAAAAATGTTGTATTGTGTATTTTGTACAGTTAGATGAGCTAGTTGGCAGCAACCTGTTACACAGACAAATATAAGCTATGCTGCAGAGATGACTATAGCTTCAAGGTATGGTATGTCTTGATTTGATTTGATTAGATTTGATTTGATTTATTCTTTCAAACATGGAACGACAGTCAATATGTCAACACACATAATTTTCACACATATCCACAAATGCATTATCAATTTGCTTCTACCTAGTACATGCTTGAACGGAGTAGGAAGAAGTTAGACTTATCTAGTCCTACCCCATGACATCATCTTACCATCATTGGTTTGCAAGGCCTCCCTCTTGTGAATATATAAGGAATTACACAGGCCTCCTCTCTGCTTTATGCTGTCTACACACACACACACACACACACACACACACTTCCAGACTGTAACCTTCTCTGATCCCAGTAATCTGCTCAAACCACTGTCGAGCAGCATGGTAGAACCGTTGTCTGCTCGTCCTATTGACACCCTCTTTCTCTCACTGTTCCCCCAAACACTTGTCCTTCTCATTCTTCCCTGTCCAGTACGTTTGGGAAAGGCTGCTTCCTTGTTTCAAACACAAGAATTTCCGCAGTCGAGAAGGAATCTGCCTCTGTCTCAGTGCCACGCTCAGCATGTGAGTAGCTTCTCCTTCTCCTGTGGAATAAACTGGTTACAGGAAGCAATTGATTTCAATAATTTTGTCCAAAGGGTGTGCTACCAAGTATTAAGTTGAGAGTATCAATAATTCTGTCCAGTCCATTTTTGGAGTTTTGTGTGGAATATATTAGATTTGTTTTTCCCCCTCTGGTTTATTGTGCTGCTTCAATGCAAACAAAAGAAATAAACATAAGCATACCAAAGAATTTGTGATTGCAACAATTTTCTGGGAGAAATGGTGTGTTGTATGAAAGAAATGCAGGGGGTCCAATATTTTTGGCTGTGACTGTATATCTTCTTTATGGGTTAATGAATATTCTGCACACTGAGGGGTAGTTATGTCTATGTGTACTTATTACTGACATGAGCTCGTCTCATTCTCTATATTGAAGAAACACACACAGTCTCTGGTTAATCCTCTTAACTCTTCCTGTGACCCCATAGTGGTGACACATATGCGATGAATAGCACTTCACTATTGTTATGCGACGTTATGTCATGTCTGTGCTTTCAGAGAAAAATGTGTTCTTAATTCACCCCAGCCTGAACTGCTACATGGTCTCATTTTCAGCTGTCAGGCCTAATGGAGAACTTGTGTTTTTTTTAAATCACAGTAACCTAATAACTGGGACTGTGTCTTATGTCTGTCTTCTAAGGAAAATATGCTGGTCGATTTAGAGACAGTTTCCCAGAAGCCACTTGCATGCTATTATGACTTCATTTTCATTATATTTTGTGCACATTTTCAGTCTTCTTTTCTTTATAAATGAATTGGTTTGTTCTCATTTCCTCCCATTATTTTTAAGAGGATTTCCGCTCTTGTAGAATCGCAGACAGTTTGGGATGGCAGAGACACTACTGTCGAAGTTAACATGCATGTTGCTAGCTCAAAATGCTGTAAACAAGCACACCTATAGACAGCAAGACTCAACACATTCTTACTGACTGAACCTTGTTTGACAACATCTTGTAGTTTTCCACTGTAATGCCGTTAAGTTTGGGCTGTGTCTGTCTGTCGGAGCTCGTCTTCCTGGTGTGTCCAGCACCATTGGTACTAGTTGGACCCTGTCGCCGGCTTTCCAGCTGATAGGGCATGTTGCATCGGTGTCGAACCTCTTCAGCGAGAGAGATCATTCTGATTGGCTGTTTAACTTAGCGAATCGGGCAAGAGAGAGGTTCAGGAAAGCCCCTTCAGCCTGTTGCTGTAGTATCTATGATTTCATCCATTTAGTACAGAATCGCAGTGCTAATTTTAATTTTAACACAATTTTGCTAATGGAAAGTGACTGTTGGTTTAATGCTGATCTGCTACATAATAGTAAAGCTAAACATGTTCACTGAGAGTACAGGGTATCCATTAATCCTAAATAGAGTGAGTAAAACATGACACATTTATTTTGTTTCTATTTTCTATGGGTCACATATCTCCAGATACAGCAGTGACTAAGAAAGCCCAGTACATTACAGTTAATGGGGAAAAAAAACAAATGAGGAACGGAAAAAACATCTTCATTACTGTATTTGCAGTGCATTTCTTCATGCAGCAAATGTTTGTATTGAAATGACAGATGAAGGTGTTTCTTAGTTTGCTTTGGCTTTGTTTACCTGATGTGTTTTTTCTACATTTAATCTATGTGTCAAAGTAGTTAATGTTGAGTAATGTTGAGTATTTTATTAGGTTATATTAATAAGATTTACATAATCTTATGGACTGAATACCGTCCTATATCCCATTAGTTTTCCCTCCCCACTGTCGCCAAGTGCTTGCTCAAGGGGGATTTGTTGGGTTTTCCCTATGTAATAATAGTGATAACAGTAAGGTCTAGAACTTACTTTGTGAAGTGTCCTGAGGTGACTTTTGTTGTGATTTGGCGCTATACAAATAACATTTGATTTGATCAGTACACCAGGATTTCAAAAATTCTGTCTCCTTGAGGATAGAATCATTTTCCTTATTCCTGAAAATGCGATTTTAACGTGGGTTTTCATTAGTCGTATATCATGATAATATATTTTACTTACTTTTTACATTGTGATTATTAACCATCTCTCATCATTTGTCTTGTGGTATATGCCTTTCAGGTATGGAGCCCAGCCACTAAGCCTCAGTAAAATAGTTCCTCATCTCTGCTCTCTGACTGGAGACCAAAATCCACAGGTACAGTACGACACAAGATCAACATCCCTGCATATGTGTTTGTTATTGTGTGTGAGTGGGTAGAAATCCGTCATTTCTTCCTTGTATGAGTCTGCAACTAAGCCTATGGTTTAGTTCTCAGCATCCCAAGTGTGTTGGCAGGCATCTTAAGGCAGCCCTGTGATTATTACTGTGATTAGTGAGGAGATGGGCTCTGTAGTCCCCCCCTGTTTCACTGCTGAATCATGAGCATCAGCACCCAGCCATTAACCCACTCAACTGTACCAGCTCTCAATGTGTGTGTGAGTGAGAGAGGGACAGAGAGGTTGGTTTAACCTCCTGTGGAGTTGCACTCCAAAGCTGAAATCTGCTTCTATCGTCTACCCAATGATTATCCACCCACGTTCTGTCCTGACCAATGAACATCCGCAACAGGCCCACCCACCCTCAGTTGCAGAGAATCCCTTTATCGGCATCCAACCACCCAATCACAACAGAGCCCACAAAATAACTACCAAATCAGATTTCTCCCATTAGGGTGATGAGAACAGGCCCTTAGGGATTTATCTTTTAATCTATGGTTACATTTGCAACCTTTAGTCTCTGTAATCTCAGATAGTGGCAAAAGAGTGCAGTTCTTATGGAAAATTAACTGTCATACTACTTGTAACATATAGACATCTACACAGACAAATATGTGATGCCTTTTTGCACAGTATGTCAGAGTGTGTCTGTACATGTAATTTTATTTGTGTGTGTGCCTAGGTACGTGAGGCCTCCATAACAACGTTAGTGGATGTTTATCGCCATGTTGGAGAGAGGGTCAGGGCAGACCTGGCAAAAAGAGGTCTCCCTGCTGCACGGTGAGTGAGTTTATCTGTGTCAGGTATTGATCATCTTTGTCTGTGGCAGCACTGATGTTATTTTAATGTGTGTGTGTGTGTGTGTGTGTGTGTGTGTGTTTGTGTGCTCTGCACAGCAGAGATGACTTGTATGGAGGGACCTTTAGGTCCCGTGGCCTTGCGCTCAGCCTGTCCCAGGCCACACCATGCACCACTTTGCACTTGACACACAGAGGCACTTTCATCCAGAGCACAATGCTGACTGACTAGGAGTGGGAGGGGGCAGATGAGGTACAAAGGCGTTGGGTGGAGTAACAGAGTTGGGGAAAAAAACGGAATAAATCGCGTGTGTGTTCATGTCATTTGAAGAGGTCTACTGAGTGGTTTTGTCCTTCGCTGGTCGCCCTGGCTACATGTGCCAAGTTGAGGGTTATTCTAAGCACAAATCGAACCCCTCCCGCCCTTCCCTCTTTTTCCCATGTGTGAGACCTGAGCAGCAGTTACTCTTGCATGCTCTCTGCTCCAAATGAGTCTTCTATCTGTGAATGCTGGCTGTAGTCATGTGTTGCACATATTAAGCCTGTCTGTCTCTATTGTAAAAGGAGGCTGAGAATAAGAGGTGGAAAAGTTAATGTAGAACATTAATGTGCTTATCTTCTTGCCAGTCTGTTTATTACTCTGAGAAAAAACACACCTTGTAGTGGGAGTTTTTCATAGAAGGACATCCTTTAAGTGGAAACCCTTATACACTAAACACCCATGTTTAGATGCATGAAATCCTTGACATGTCTGCAGTACAACAGCTTGTGTCCCCTGCACTTCTAATAATTTTCCATGGGACATTTAGAATTTTTTCCTGTCCCCTCTCTCCTTTCAAATGCCTGCAGTACTAAAATGTGTGTGTTTTGTTTACCTGAAAAGTTGTTTACATTGCTAACTCAAATAATCAGGAGTTGCAATGGAGGCATGGACTAATGAGTTTTGTTTTGATGCACATTAGGAAATCTAGGGGTTTACCTTTATCGTTTGTTTTTCCTGGGGAAATGCAACGCCTTAAATACACAACTGCAGAACGAAATGCTGTAAATGAGCCTTGTGCCTCTGCAGTGCAAGAGTTTGCAGTTTGTTATATGGTCTTAAACGGTAAATGGTCTGATATTTGTATAGCACTTTTCTCTGCATTGCAGCACACTCAAAGCGCTTTCACACCATTCACCCATTCGCATTCATACGCCGGTGACATCACTGGGACCAACTGGGGGTTCAGTGTCTTGCTCAAAGACACTTTGACTGAGGACTGGACCCACCAACCTAACTGTTAGGAGCCGACCCGCTCTACCTCCTGAGCTGCAGCCACCTCCATATCTAGAAGTTGTTGAATTTTACAGATTGGTAATAGTGATTAGAATATCTAGTTGGCACGCTCTATCAGTTCAGTGGTAAGGAATGATACTACTCAAAAATAGGTCGGATACCACCTGGATTTCTGTCCGTCTTTCTGATGGCAGATGGCAGTTTTTTGAACAGTTTTGTTATTAAAGTTTAAACTGCATTTTAACTGTCTACCTGATGTATGGAGATAACTAAAACAACTTATAGCAGTATTTTTTCTGAGGTACTGTATGCAAGTATTGGCCCTATTGCAGTCTGAAGTCTGTAGTAACAAAGGATTAACCTGTGACAGTCTCCTATACATCCAGGTTTTGTGAGCATTGAGTAGACCGGTGTAATGCCCATAGTTTTTGTTCCAAATGGAAACGAGATACCTGAAGAGTGTGTATCATCTCCACTGGACAAGGCGTGACCCTTTTGGAATGGTGTTGATCTGTAACACAAACTGACAGTTTGGTGTAAAAGGTGCAATGGTGTGAAGACAGGATCCTTGAATTAAGTAAATATGAAAAGAGAGGTAGGATTAAAAATGAGGAGTGGGGGGCGGGGGATGTTGGGGTAACAGAGTGAGAAGGAGAGCGGTAGAGGGGGGAGGAGCAGCTGTGTATCCTATCCCCCTCGGACATGCGCACGCGTGTCTGGTTATGGGGGTTGGAGGGGAGTTATGTAAAGGGTAACTGAATCTTTTTACTGCCTGTCACACAAAACTGGCCCACTTGTCCCGTCTCACACACACATGCACACAAAGACTCTGCCTGAGAATTAACTCCTAACTCTCTGACTGTGGAGATTTCTCAGTGGCTGCGTGTGTGCTTAACATACAGTTCATATGTGCGACAGTAGGCGGTGCTTTGTCACATGCCCATAGCATGCTATGGTCTCTCGCTCTTTGGCTCTCTCTCACTCCCTCCCTCTCTTCTCCCTTCCTCCCTTTTGGAGCCACTGCACCATGTTGAATACAAAGAGCTGAGGGGAGCAGAGGACTGGAGCATGTCACTAGCATGGGAGCTAATGCAACGTTGCGCAGCAGCACAGCACCCTAATAATCAACCCACTGGGAAATACTGTGGCAAATGAGTACTGGAGACTGAAGGCTAGGGTTTTTCTGAACCAAATAGTTCAATTAAAATGCTAATGAAAGGAAGTGAACCATGTGAAAACACCGCACAGCTGAGGAGACCATTGCAACGCTAACTGACACTTAAGGAGCCGCTAAGCTGTCTGGTGGTTGTTGACTGGCACCCAGACACCAAGAGGCAGACAGAAGACGTGTGTATGAGTCTTATTTTTATGTGCTCACATTCATGGCTTTTGGCAAGGAGACATTAGCGTATGGTAGTGGATGTGGGTCATTGTATCTGTGCTCTGTTTTTGTTGTACCAGTCGTGAGGCTTTTTTGTTTGTGCAAAGGAATTATTTTAGTTTTTGTCTGTAGATTGTGAGCGATCAGTGCCCCAGTATTATGCAGACCGTTCTACCTGTAAACCATATGACTGAGCAGGTCTGGCTTGTAATTGTGTGCACATATTTGTGTGTGTTTGCTGCCAAGCAGGATGTCATGATGAGTCGTGTCGCTGCTGCAGCTTCATGAGTGTGGCTGTCATAATAGACACACCCACCAAATCGCAGACAGGCAGGCTGTCCACATGTTGCTGCAGCCAATGCTTTTACTTGAGATCCACAGCACCTTCACTGTCTCTAGGTCAAAGCTCTGAGCTGTGTGTGCACATCCGTCTTTGTCACAGTCCTGTCAGTGAACATGTATAGTTTTCCTAATTCAGCCTTATTTGGATGTACCAAATTCTGTTATTAGTATGATTTCATCAGTATGTGCGCTATATCTGCTTTTTTGTTCTAACCTTTTTGTCTTCTGTCTTTTCTCTCTCTCCAGGTTACAGGTTATATTTGCTCGTTTTGATGAAGCCTTGAATTCAGGCAACATGGCTCTCAGCCCGAGTCACGGTCAGTGCCTTTTCTCTTTTATTGTGTCACAGTTGTTTTGGCCCCTGAAAGCCACTAAGTTGAGTCATAGTGTCAAGATGATTTTGCTGTTATCAGGTATTGTGTGTGTTTGAGAGAAGAGTAAGATTGTGTGTGTGTGTTGGTGGGCACTTGTGTATGTTGAAATCTGCATGTGCTCTTGTGGCTGCGTCAGTTTGTTGCCATGAGCTCCTGAAAGAGAGCCTAACAGGATTAATGGTTTAATCCATGCGTGTGAGGCTTTCAGCAGAGCCTGACCTGAGCTGAGCACTTTGCTGTCCTGCACAAAGTGTGACCTGTGGTTCCATGGGATCCTCAGGCTCAGCCTTTGTTGTTTGACCATGGAAAATTAAAATTCTATTGCTAAGACCCCTTAAAGTGATGTTTTACATTTGTTTTCCCGTTTCATATTATAACACTGGCTCAAGTATCACTTCAGGGATTTATTGACTCCCATATAAGAAGGGAAATATTTTCCTTGCTTGTACATATAGACTATTATTATTACTCTTGTATGTTTGTATGACTGTGATTTTCAGACTTGTTCAGCACCATCACTAATACTGTACTTAGAAAGTGGATTGAGGGGTGGCTATGGTGTGACTAATCCAGACTGTTTATAGATTCAGATTCAGTCACTGCCGGATGACGATTTCTCCTGCAGTGACAGCGGAGGCCACTAAAACCACTGTAGCCATTGTATAAACAAAATATGAACAAGAACAACTCAACTTTACCAGGTGGAATCCCCCGCATGTGCACCCCTCTGTGACCTGTAATCATCACAGATGTGCTTTGTGGCCTCCAGCGGCCTCTTCAACGTGCTGTCAGCTCCCGAAAAGCAAGCTAAGTTGAGGTCTCAGTTGTCCTTCACCTACAGCATCAGTTCCCTTTTTTTCACCTTCACCTCTCCATAGCATGTATCAGGCTTTTTAGAAGCTTAATTTTAAGTTAATGTAGATCACCCCCGGTGTTGAAATTTGTCAACTGTAAGACCTCAGTCTTACAGCTGTAGAGTGATTGTGGAGACTAGGTAAAGATTGAACATGTAACAGTTTACTGAGTGTATGCTCTCTGTGGGGTTGTGTCTGGTGTTGGTGTGTAGCATAAGCTGTCATTTGTTTGTACCTTTAGGCTTCCATGTTGCTGTATCTGTCTTTCTAACAGCGACATCATCAGTTGGTGCCTGGTTGGCTGTTCTAGCACAGGGAGAGACACTGAGAAAAGCTTAGGTGGCACCAGAGGGATGGTGGGAGTTTAACTTTTAACTCCCGCTTCTCTAAGGTTTACTCTCTGATGCTGTCTTCGGTCATGTACATAGATGGTCTGTAAAATATTGAGTGGTGCTTTTTGCTGTTTATCAAGGTGGATTGTCTTGCCATTAATCTGTTGGGTTTAGTTTAGATTCACAACACACTTGATCTACAACTACCCCAAAAACTCCACACTTCAACTGGAAAGTCGGACAACTGTTGGTGCTCTCCTGAAGTAGCCCAACAAGCGCTTAACAAAACACCCAGCAATGAGACCCAAGTGTGGGGCACACTCTTTTAGTGGTTTTACTGTTTCAGCACTATCACAGCAGCTGTGGACTCCAGAAAAACATCTAAAGTATTTTCATTATTGCTTTAATTTCTTTTTTGTGTCTACCACTGGCTACTGTTATAGATGCTTTGAAACCACTAAACGTCCTGTCCATATATGTTGACTACATAGGAACTCCCCTCAGTAAACGTGAAGTGAAAGTGACTCCAGGGTGAACTTTGGTTGCACGCCCTGCTCTTTGGCCTTGGCTGCCACCTCAAATGAACTTAAGCTCCTTACTCTTATATTTTTCAGCTACTGCAGCTTGTCGTGCTACTTTTGGCTGTCAAAAGTTGTTTTGTTGTTTGTGTGTGTGTGTGTGTGTGTGTGTGTGTGTGTGTGTGTGTGTGTGTGTGTGATGTTGTGGAATATGTCTGGATTATGTGACGTGGTGTGTCTCAGATTGTTTGGGAGGATAATTCTTTTAAAAAAGTTAATTTTCTGGTGATGGACAATTCTGTTCGTTAAACCGCGATTGCCAAGCTTCCTACAGTACGTCTCTGTATATTGAGTAAAATGATTGATTTTACTGTGCACAGTTAATATGAATCTTGCAGTTTAACGTACGTTATTTTGGAACCTGTTCCTAACTCTGGTCTCCTCTACGTTTGGTGACAAACCATGCCAAAGAGGGAATTTGGAAGTTCAGAAATGGAATGTGATGAGCATTTGTGTGACTCTGGTGTTTTGACATAAACACCCAGTAAACCTACCTAGAATTCATCTTATGACACAAATTTGTCCTTACTTGCCCTTGTCCCACATCTCTTTTAGGCCAGCTCCTGGCATTCAGTGTAAAGAGTTTGAGGCAGCTGTTGCTGAGAGAAGAGGATTGAGGGAGGGAGGGAGGAAGGGAGGGCAAAGGACTGAGGGAGGAAGCTGACAGAGATCTCTTGCAGTAGCTGAGTCACAGCATTGTGCCTATCACTGCCTCTCCCTGATTCATTACAACAGAGACGGAGAGAGATTGAACAAATGGGAGGAAAGGAGATAGAGAAGAGAATAGTGGGAGAGGAGCAAATAAAAAGACAACAGGAAGGTTTCCTACCAATAACACACTGTAGTCATGGCAGTTGGGGATGATGGCAATGGTAAGTGTGTGTGTGTGTGTTTGATCTGATCTGGCTGTGGACACTGGCACTCAGACAAAGGCTGGTCTGTATATGTTTTAAATTGAAATCAGCTTAAACTCACCAAGCGCCTCACCTCGAGTGTTCTGTATGAGAGGGAAGACCAGGGTGTCCTAAAATGACAGTCTCCATTATGTTGGACTGCATTTGTGTGTGGCTGGGTCTACAAATAAAGAACATGTGGAAGAGCATTTGTGCATCCTAGTGATTCACTGTTTTGTTTTGTCTCATATAAAATGGAGACAGGAAATATTTTGACAGTGACATTTTTAAGTGAACTGATCAAAGAACAATACTGTGACTTCAGTGTGAAGTAGCCTCTCATTCTCTGCTTTCTTTTCCTTTCTGTGGCAGTAATATGAGGTCAGGTGTATGTTGCTCTGCTACCTTTCATTTTCTAGCTCACTCTCACTCAGTTTATATGAGAAGCAAGGACGGGCATTTGTGTATAACAAAGAGTGTTGGGGCCAATGTACAAAATTTGAGTTCTGACTTGTATCCCAGAAAGCTGAGATTAAAATCCAAATTTTGAGTTTAAAGTCAGAGTTCTGATTTAAAAAAAAAAAAAAAAGTCAGAATTCAAATAAATGAGCGAGTGGCCCTAACCCTCTTTTGTAGTATATACATGTGCTTTGATTTTAAAATAATTTCCTCAGATTGATGACTATTTAGGATTAAATAGTCGTTGTTAAGATCAAGTCCATTGTAAGTCACTCTGCCTGTCTTGGTTCCAACCTTAAAGAGTTGAATGAAGTATAAACTTAGTGTTTCTTTATTCTGGCTGTTTTGAAAGCACCTCCTATAAAAACAATATCATACAGGGCTGCCTGATGTTCCAGTTAGTACACTGTATACAGACAAAACCATGATTCGCTCGCTGTCTAATCATGGTTAATTCGTTCATTTTTATTTATGTATCATGCAATACTTTTAGCCCACCCGCCTAAAATAATAAAACATCTGCAGGTGGGGGACCCCGTAGCCCAGAGGTTACAGCACGGCGCACCACATACACTGCATGTGCATACGTAATGCTGGCGGGTTAGGCCACACAGC